TGTATCATCCTATGGAATCTGTACCCTACAGGACTTCATCACTCTGCTCTCCCCCCAGTGCTCGACAGACAACATCACATCACGATCTTGGAGATCGTGAATACTCTGAGGTCCACTTTCCCATGATGCCGGCACGTTCGCTATGTGAACGCCAAGTAGCCTCCCATCCACCGTCTGTTCCCTCCTTTGTCAGTCATCATATTCCCCTGCCAACGGTACGTTCCCTTTGGGAACGCCAAGTCACCGAAGGCCCCGTTAGTCAATCCTCATTGCACACTCATGATATCAACCCACTACCAGTATGTTCATGCTGTGAACGCCAAGTACCCAATGGCAGTTATACAAAGTTCTCACCCACCTCATGAGTCGCAACCTTGCACATGGTACGCTCCATTGAGGAGCGCCAAGTACCCATGGCTGACCCATCCATCATGACGTCTCCAACTACCTACCATCAATTCCTTAATAGCTCACTACATCACCAATCACGATTGATGGGAATTCGATCATCCACTCCCATGCAAGACTGGGACCACTCATCGATTACATATCCCGTTATGGTACAGACTAGATACAATGTTCATCATCCCACTATAAGAACGGATCAAGGAATGGGGATTCCCCCCCATCCCCGTAACACTCAGAGCCAGGAGTTGATCACCTGTTCGAAGCAGTCTACTAGTCCTACATCTCCTAGCCAAGGATCTCGAACTCTTGGATGACCTTGTCCACAGAATCAGTGCCTTGTCACAGGGTGGCCAGCTTCTGCCTGGCTGTGGCTTCATGGTTTGGGTCTTGGAACATGGCATCGAGTTCCATGTTGAACTCGTCCATGGTGAGCCTGGGGGGACCCGTTGTTAGTAGCACTGAAGGACGGAAAAGCTGGTAGTACCCTGACACCGCTATATCACAGCCTACAGACGTTACCTAGTGCCTGACACACAGTACCCCAGTCCCCCAAAGCTCATTGAACCTCCCCTATCATCGTTGTATTTTTTGATATTTTTTCAGACCAGGTTACGGCTCACCCAGATGTGTTACTGGGCCGCTTTCTCAGTATTTTCGCCATAACTCCCCCAGTTCTTCTCCGATCCGGACGCACTTGGTATCGTTGGAAAGCTACTATCAAGACGAGTAGAACGAGTCCAGTATCGGGAGATTTGGTGCCGCCGTTGTGGAGATCGTCGGAATTTATCGATTGTGTGGCCGTTCCTATATATTTTTCATGTTTTCTGTTGTTTTCTTTGTTCTGTGTCATTCCATCCGCTTCTGTCCATCCCTAACACCGTTGGATTGCTCGGACTTTAGTTCAGATGACCATGGTTTATATACAAAATGTATCTAGTATGATACAGAGATTCTCCCCTCTGCTCCACTAAGTACTAGGTCCGTGTGCCTGGGGTGGTGTCTGAGTGCTTGAAGTCTTGGGGACAGTGCTTCGCAGGCAGTACTGCTAGCTTGTCTTCCAGGGAGGTCCACCTAGTGTTGAAGTTTTTAGGCTGAGTTAGTCAGGACCGGGGTCACAGTGAGTCTGAAACCCTAGGTGCCCTTTCCACCCCCCCCCCCCCCTTCTTCTTTCCCTTTGGTGAGGGAGCAGCTGGAGAGTGGCAATGCGACCCCTTGACTGTGGTCTAGCCTTCTTTCCCACTTGCAGCGTGATGGTGCACTGCGTCACCCATGCCCCAGCAGTTCCTCCCTTCATGTAAGACAGGACAAAGAGGATTTGGGAGAGGGCATTGGGGAACTCTGCTGCCCAAACGTGGAAGTATATGCTGCATTCAGCCTTGAAGCAGTCCAGGTCTTCAGTTGCTCCAGAGAAGGGGGTGGGGGGCAACTTTAGGCAGTTTGGGTCTGGGGGTGGGTGTAGGTGCTGGTGTGGGTGCCAGTGCCAGTGTGGGTGCAGCTGGGGGTTGGTTCTGGGCTTGGCTCTCCATGATGGCCTGAAGCTCCTGAAATCAGGACAGCAGCTTGTCATACTGCTCTTCGGTCACCATAGTGGGAGAGATGGAGGAGGCAGGGGAAATGAGGTTAAAGCCTTCTTCTGCTGTCAGGGACAGCTCCGAAAGTGGTGAGGTCCCGGCACGAGGGACTCGATGAGACAGGTGTCAGCTATGCATAGTGGCAGTCCCATCGTGGGGTGAGCATCCCTGACCACTTAGTCTGAAGTGGGAAGTTGCATTATCATTAAAGGGGAAAAGCTACAGTACTTACCTGAAGTGGGAAGTTGAGAAGAAGGCTACTTCTTCTGTTCCCACCCCAGGCACTATTATATACATGCGGTTAGGGTCACATGGGGGAGCCATGTCATCTCTGCACACAGCTGCACCTCCCTGGGTGTCTCCATGGGAGATCCCAGAGGTGGCTGCCCAGTAGGCAGGAATGCATGTGGCACATGCAGTGATCAGGGGAGCAGGGTTAGGTATGTAGTGGTACATGGGGAAAAGGGAAATCGACCATGGAATAGAAATAGAGAGAAAAGGGGAAAGGGGAAAGGAGGGATGGGGAGTGATAGTGGGGGGAGCGGAGTAGGGCTTTGAAGGCCTAATCGCCTTCACTAGTGGAGGTCTAACCACCTCTACCTTATATTTTATTTCAATTTTTACTTTTAAAAATTTGATTTATTCCTGTTAAACCGGGAACTTCTAGATCTGTCACAACAACAGATCTGTGGAGGCTTAACAGCCTCTACACTACTCTTATTCCTTGGACCATCAAACCAATGGTTCTGTAAAGGCCTAACAGCCTTTACTTTATTCTAACTTCTTGATCTGTCAAAACAACAGATTTGTGGAGGCTTAACAGCCTCCACCTTACTATTGTTTCTTGATCTGTTGAAATGACAGATCTGTAGAGGCCTAACAGCCTCTACCTTAATTTTATTCTATGAACTGTCAAAATAACAGTTCTGTTAAGGCCTAACAGCCTTTACATTAAATCTTTAACTTTTAATTTTGTAAATTTTGTGTTAATTTTAAAACTATCATCCCAACAGTTTTTAACAACCTTTATATTTCACATTCTTTTATATTTCTCAAATTTTAAAATCTTAACTTTGTAAAGGTTTAACCACCTTTACTAATTACTTTCAATTTTTTGAAAAATTTTTTTTCCCTTCTTCCCATATTATCCCTCTTGTGTGTGTGATATTAATATCACAAGGGAGGAGAGTGAGTGTAAGGAGTGGTAACCCCACCCCTTAATTCCTATCTTCATTCTATATGTGTCTCATAATAAACAATGTATATACAATAACGTGGGAATTTGGGAAAAGGAACAGAACTCCTTTTCCTCCCCATTGTTGATAATTAAAGCTCCATACAGCTCAATTTTATTGACAACCTGAGGATTGAGGAGAACTGGGGTTGGAACCTACACCAACCCCTTACAGAAAAGAACAAAGAAGAAAATATGCAAAACTTGTGAAGATGTTGTTGACAATGGCAGGGGTGATGACAACGGATTGGAAGATGATGCCAGCAATACATTTGACAACAAATGGCACTGGAGCACTTGCAGATTGTATTGTAATTGAAAAAATTGGTCATGGGCACCCCAGAGCTTCTTGGGCCCTTCAGGCTAAAGTAAATAAGCTATACGCGCGGTCTCAGTCTCGAACAAGAGAACTAAGTTTATTGTTCCTTTACCTATACGCGCAGTCTGTAAATACAGTTAGAACTCGCATACAAGGAATGAAGTAAAAGAAAAAGGATATCACCTCAGTCTCGAACAAGAGAACTGAGGGGGTGTGAAAAATTTCCGCACACAGTGTGTTTTATACACCTAGCGCTAATATCGCTTATAGCGACTGCCTGCTATAACCGGCAATGAAGAGCACATCAAAACAAAAAAGTATATACGATATCCTCAATTAATATCGCGTCAATAAAGAAAATATCAGTACGCATGGACATTGATATTCCAATACAGGCTCCCCTGCAAAACTAGTTATATTTTTTCTCAGTGCTCTAGTGTACCAGTGCAGGCACTCAAATGCTCAAATACTATCTAAGAAGGTAGGTTGGATGGCACACCCCACATACCATTTTATATTGACTGAGTCACGAGTACTAGGTGTCGCAATGTTGTAATTGGCGGATTCAAAAAAATATCATCATTTTCATATTTCTGTAAATTCGTCAAACACGAGATTTTTTACCGGATGTACTGGGGGCCAAAGTTACCATCAAGCCCCCGCTCCCACGTCCCCACCGCCGATCTCGGAATGGGTCTCCTCACTATCATTCGGAAGAACCAACGGAAGGCGAAAGAAATGAGGATACTCTTCCTGCAAGTGAAATCTATATACCCTTGAAACCCTAACCTCGTCACACTTATTAAGAGCCTCACGCATTTCACAGAGGGCTGGACAACGCTGGGAAAACAACCATCCTGAAGCGTCTGAACGGTGACGACATTGGCTCTGTCAGTCCGACTCTTGGCTTCGAGATCAAAACCTTCATCCACGGCAAGTGCGCAATCGAGCGATCCGCCCCATTCTGAGCCTATTTAGCTGATACGGGATGTTTTCCAACGAACCAGATATACCTTGAACATCTGTCGGTAGTCTCGGGATAATTCATTTTTAATACTCTACGATGGACTGATAGATAGGCGTTTCTAAGGGGATGTGGGTGGCCAACGAACGCTTCGTCCATATTGGAGGAATTACTTTGAACAGACCGATGCTCTTGTATGGGTTGTCGACTCGTCGGATCGACTGCGAATGCAGGATTGCAAGGAGGAATTGCATTCCTTGCTTCAAGAGGATGTGCGTAGTCGCCTGAAGACCTGTCTCGCCGACTTATTGACTTGTCACGGCTAGAGACTCGCAGGCGCAAGTCTTATAGTTCTCGCAAACAAGCAGGATCTGAACGGTGCTATGACCGATGCAGAAATTAAAGAGGTGATCACATTCCTGCCTTCATTGAGATTCCGCTTATGGGGCGACTTGTGCATCCAGGCCCTCGACCTTCGGTCTATCAGGACGCATAATTGGAAGATCATGCCATGCAGTGCCATTACAGGTCAAAACGTAGCTGAGGCAGTGGGATGGGTAGTTAATGACGTTGCGGGAAGAATATACTACAATCTGGGTGACTAAATATACATGAATGAAAGTCCGTTCCGCTATGTATATAACACGAGAATGTTGATTAATGCTTGTGGTAATGGTGGTAATAGGTGATTTCATGCAAAGCAGTGAGAAGATCTAAAAAAGGAGTTGAAAGAGGCGGACGGATTTCATGCCTGGCTTTGACTGCTATCCAGAATGTACTTTTCCATACTCTCTTGATAGGATTCGGAGAAGAGGAACCGCTTAACATCGGGAGGCATGTTCTCATCGGAATCACGTCTAAAACTTCGCTGTGGATTTCTTGGTGAAAGCGGGCTGGATTGAAGGAAGTCGAGTTGAACGTCTTCAGCAGTGGGTTTGGTGTGTGACTTGGTCGGGGATGGTGTCATCGGCGCGCAAGCATTCTCGTCCAGAGGTTGGTTCTTTGAGAGCAGTGAGGCTAGTGAGAAGTAGCTTTCCCCCTCGGAAGGCAAAGGCGTGGCCCTCAGACGGTATTCCCGCCATCGCCTATCATCTTTGTACTGCGGAACCCTTTGGGTCGGGAAAGGGGGATCGAGACGGAGCTGGGATAGTAGTTTGCTGCCATAATCATCACCCATGGTATCTTGCGTCTCCGATCCTTGTGTATCAGTATTCTGTGTCTGGGACCCTTCATCTGAGCGCGGTTGGTCAACATGAAATAAAGCCGTCGACGAGCGCTCCATAGGCGAATTATCGAGGGTTGAAAGCCTTCCTGGGGAAATCAGTTGCCCCTTGGTGACAATGATACTCGAAGCAGGATCTGCTGTACCAGGCACAACAAACTTGCGCGGGGTAGCGAGGGTACTTTTCAGAGAGCCGCCTTTCCTTTCGAATGGTTTATCTGACGCATGAATGGATGAAGAGGCCCAAATATGCCGCTCAGGGGTCTGAGAAGACGGCACCACAGAATCGCGAGAGGCTTCCCCCCGGGGCACCTTCGAAGGTGTTTTGGGTCCGTTCGATAAGCTCCAAACTCCACGATAGTCCGATGGTTGGGCCTCAACAATTATGTAAGAGCGTTGTGTTTGGGAAGAAGGCACAACATCAGATTCATCGTCCATTGGGGATGTCACTCGGCTGCTTGGAATATTTCGATTCTCGTCACAGGCATGAAACAGTGAAATTGATCCTGCGCGTGTTGGGCTCGTATCCCAGTCGTTTCGTGGCCCCCTTGACCTTTCTTTCCCCTTAACAGTAGTATCCAGGTGCGGTGTCGTGTCTGCAAGGGTAGGGCTAGAACTTATCACAACAGTTGAGCTGCGGATGGTCGAAGGGGGGGCAGCTAAAAACGGATGGAATGAAATGAAATGAACAACAGGAAGCTAACAAATACATACGCGTGCGAACGACAGTTTTCGATGCTGGGGTTTCTGGGAGACGCTTCCGACGCTTAGGAAGAGGCACAATTTCCGAATCACTGCTTATGTCGACAAGTGGAGGTGTCTCTCGGCTTTTCGGAGTGCTCCTTACAGCGAGAGAAGGGGCCAATGCCCTTGAGCTCGGCTTTCTTGTCTTCGGAGTGACCGAGGAACCGGCCGGAGAATCAAAGGGTTGCGATTTGAGTGCTGCAGTAACACTTCGTGTATGCTTGCGCGAGCTGGGTGGGGGCTTCGGCGGCTTCGGAAGGAATACATCCGTAAGCCGAGTCTGATACTGAGTGGGGGGGCCGTCAGGCCCATCTCCCCTAGCGCCGGTCCTCGAATAACGACCGCGCTTGGGAGGCATCAGTGAACCTACAAAACCCCCCTGAGATGAGCGCAAAAGGAAATATACACGTGATCATGGCCGAACAAAAAAATGATGGGAATTGATTTAGAAACCAGCCAACGACCATTGCCTACATGTGACGTTATTATGTAATAAATATTCATTGCGTGCGGTCTCATCGTCCCCTCCCTGTTATTCCCCAACCCAACCCAATTACCAAACTAAAATTATTAATTACCATTACAGCGCTTGTGTATTGTAGAACGTGCTCGGAATAGGGTTTGTTTAGTGCAATTAGTGTAGCATTGCTTATCGGTGTTATATATACATTGAAGTCATCCTCGTGCAATAACTGTGGCAAAAAAAATTCCACCAAGAATGAATCGAACCTGCACAAGCAGGGGAGGGGGGACAGGCTCATAAACAGCGCTATAATCCACTAGACCAAGTAGACCTCACATGGATCCGGTCCTAAAAGTAATATATAAAGTGTTAATTTCAGCCACGGATCCGGGGTTGATCACGAAGTCAAAAGCCGCCCAATGTACATTTTTCATGATATTGATCACCCCTTGGAATTGAAGTTTTTCATCTTGAGGGAGAAAAAAAAGAAACACCATGCAGGACTCGAACCAAGACCCATCCAGACACAGGATTAAAAAGAACCCGGCACCAGCCGCTAAGCCAAACCACCACCACTAGGGACTTTGACCAAACCATATATATGTACAGTTAAACTGGCCTCGCAATTCCCTTGCCCCCCTTCATCCACTATTTTTTTTTACTGCATGCAACTTTCTGTTCCCTTCCGTTAAATGCCCCACAGTTATGAAGGCGCCCGGGCCCCTGCCCGTGCATCTTCACGCTTGCATCCTATTCATTTCCTTCATTGTAATTGGCGGATTCCAAAAAAATATCGTCATTTTCATATTTGTGTAAATTCATCAAACACGTGATTTTTTGCACTCATCTCAGAGGGGTCATCAGTGAACCTACAAAACCCCTCTGAGATGAGCGCAAAAAATCACGTGTTTGATGAATTTACACAAATATGAAAATGACGATATTTTTTTGGAATCCGCCAATTACAATGAAGGAAATGAATAGGATGCAAGCGTGAAGATGCACGGGCAGGGGCCCGGGCGCCTTCATAACTGTGGGGCATTTAACGGAAGGGAACAGAAAGTTGCATGCAGTAAAAAAAAATAGTGGATGAAGGGGGGCAAGGGAATTGCGAGGCCAGTTTAACTGTACATATATATGGTTTGGTCAAAGTCCCTAGTGGTGGTGGTTTGGCTTAGCGGCTGGTGCCGGGTTCTTTTTAATCCTGTGTCTGGATGGGTCTTGGTTCGAGTCCTGCATGGTGTTTCTTTTTTTTCTCCCTCAAGATGAAAAACTTCAATTCCAAGGGGTGATCAATATCATGAAAAATGTACATTGGGCGGCTTTTGACTTCGTGATCAACCCCGGATCCGTGGCTGAAATTAACACTTTATATATTACTTTTAGGACCGGATCCATGTGAGGTCTACTTGGTCTAGTGGATTATAGCGCTGTTTATGAGCCTGTCCCCCCTCCCCTGCTTGTGCAGGTTCGATTCATTCTTGGTGGAATTTTTTTTGCCACAGTTATTGCACGAGGATGACTTCAATGTATATATAACACCGATAAGCAATGCTACACTAATTGCACTAAACAAACCCTATTCCGAGCACGTTCTACAATACACAAGCGCTGTAATGGTAATTAATAATTTTAGTTTGGTAATTGGGTTGGGTTGGGGAATAACAGGGAGGGGACGATGAGACCGCACGCAATGAATATTTATTACATAATAACGTCACATGTAGGCAATGGTCGTTGGCTGGTTTCTAAATCAATTCCCATCATTTTTTTGTTCGGCCATGATCACGTGTATATTTCCTTTTGCGCTCATCTCAGGGGGGTTTTGTAGGTTTTCTCAGCAGCATGCAGGCTGCTGCTTATTCAAATACCGGAAGCAAAATGTCGCGTCACGCTCACGCGTGTGGTCGCCAATGGATGCCTCTCTAAAGCGACCTCTCTCTCCCAGTACAGTCACAGAAGATAGACCGAGTAAAATGCCAGCCATCGATGCTTTGGTAGCTGAAGGGTCAAATACGGTCGCGCCAACAACAAGATCAAACCTCCTAGTCAAACGGCATTCCGAAAAAGCAAAACTTCCAACGCGAGGTTCTGCCTTGGCTGCGGGCTACGATCTTTACAGGTGTGGTATTATCGTCCGTAGCCGGCTTTCTTGGTCACAAATATGTTAGTTTGACGCGTCAAGCGCGGAGACCAGGACGATTCCTGCAGGGGGAAAAGCACTTATCGACACTCAGGTATCCATTGCCGTCCCTATAGGCACATATGGTCGCGTGGCACCTCGTAGTGGGTTAGGTGAGCTCGATCTTAAGGATGTCTATATGCTGTTAGACATCAAAGTCGCAATTTCTACAGCATCAAAGTTCATGATCGCTACGGGCGCGGGCGTCATCGATGCCGATTATCGAGGAATCGTCTTTGTCTTGCTATTTAACCATTCTGACAAGGAATTTCTTGGTTGGTCATCTCCAATAATCCAATGGATTTTCATTTTTTTCACATTTTTTTCCCCCTTCAACAGTCTCGGAAGGTGATCGAATCGCGCAACTGATTATTGAGAAGATCGAAACGCCTGAGCCCATTGAAGTTCAGGTTTGTATTATCCTCCTTTTTTTTCCGTTCCTGTTGCCCCGCTCACCCTGTCCCTGTGCTGTGTAGGATCTTGAGGAAACTCTCCGAGGAACTGGGGGGTTCGGCTCTACCGGAGGACATGGTGGCCTCTAACGCTAAAGGCCTGGATCTACCGCCTTGTTGTTCTCTGTCCCTGCTCGTGTATATCGTGTCAATCTAACCATCGAAATTAACACAGTCCTAACGTAATGACTGGAGAAAGTGGCCACTGAGCTGAAACTTCCCAGCCGGCCGGCATGGCGGCGCATCTGATACCTACTACAGTGCTACCAGACCACAATTACTCACACTCTTCTTTCTTTTCATCTTGGCACTACATAGCGCAACCGCCACGCGAGCGAGTCGCATTATGCGGCACACTGGCCGGTAGCGACAACTCACCTGATAGTCGGCGGCACACAGTTTCGTCTACCTTTCGCTATGGAGGGCCTTAGTACCCATGGACGCACTCTAATGCCCAATTATTGAACCACTGGCCCCGGGGTTCGCGTGTCGCACTTCCGCAGTGACCAGCCTCTTTTAGGGGGAGTGCTTCGTATGACTGCATTGTTACGATGTATGTCCATCACTCCTGATCCACGATGCCTCACCTTTCCTGAATCCTCTCTGTTACCCCAACGCCCGCGGCCCTTCACCACGCTTCCTAACTACGCGCCACATCGTACGTTCCAGGGTGATTCCATTACAACAGACTCATCTAGGGGCAGAGAGTTGGAGCGGCTTGATTCCCGCGTCACTTCGTCTGGATATGGTTTGCCCGCAATAATAGTTTAGTTTCGCTTGAGGGCCGGCTTCCCGTCTGGAAGAGACGGAACCTATCTTCCCGCAGAGACACCAAGCGAGGTCCCGAGTCCATTCGTGAACCGACATAGTTGTCGCAACGGCTAGGGCCGGTAATTGGTTCAGCTTCATACCTAATATGTTCCACAACTCCAGTACTGATAACTACTTGTACTTGATCACATCGCGTTGAATTGAAGCGGGTGCCACATCCCTTAGCCACAAAAGACTCATTTCGAACTCATGACCAAAAAGGTTTTGCATCCGCAAGCCAAACTTGTGATCAACCACTGGCATCATTTATAAGAGCATGGATTGGTCTGAGTATTCTAGAGTTCACCGGGAATGTGAGCCAAAGACTGCAGACGGATCAGCTGGCATGAGAACACAGTGGGTACCGAATTCGTTGTTCACTTTCATTCCAGCTGGGCGTGCTGAGGGTTTTGAAACGTGGTGTGGGTGTTTAGCTGGATGGTAGCGATTTGTCGTTGGGTTCGTTCTGCATAATGCCGGGAGTTAAGCTGAGTTCGGGCTATGCCGCGCTCCTACTAAGCGATGTGGCCTTAGCTCAGCAACAGCCCGTCTGGCCTTATCAAGGGATGATATGACTCATGTCTTCCACCATCCGAGAGCATCCTGAATATTCCCCCCTACTCTACTACCTGGTCACTTCGCGGAGTCTGGGCAAAGGTGAAGGGGCTTTTCCTAAGCCAGGCTTGGACCTCATCTTCTCTCCGAGAGCTGGGTGAAAACCGGCCGTGGACAGAAAATAACATGTTTTATGAGACTAGGAGCCCCAAAAATCTCTGGAGGAGGTCCGAACGTGAAATTGTGGAATCGTCAACGGATAACCTGCAGTGCCCCAGGCGAGTGTATGACGACGTGATGCTCAAGGATGCTGATCTATCGCTTCATAGGTGTCCCTCGGTGGTGGAACAATTGTGTTGATCCCAACAAGCACACAGGATGCTCCTTGAGTGCTTTGGTCGAACAGCTGCTCACTTCTTAAAATGGCTGGTGTCCACTGGTTTCGGCATCGGATGTAGGGGCTCTCGCGATGGCTTGCAATGACTTCGTTATTTGGCCCCACAGCCACTCGATGTAGTTCAGGATCAAAAGGACGCCCCCAGGAATTGCGCTGTCCCCTGGGTATCTGATCTGCGGGAAAAAATGGATGCGAGGAGAGCATTTGCATATGGTAGCTTGGTCTGCTTTACCTCGTTTCAACTTTGTGTTTCTAGTGGGTGGATTCTAGCGTTAAGATGAAGGGTGAGAGCTGAACACTCTTCGAGGAGTACGGGGTCCGGTTCTACTGGTGCCAGAGGCGCGGATCAATCACCTGGACGATTTCTGTCAATGCTATATCATGTGAATCTAACTAAAGTGACTCGTAATTACTTGTTGTAAGAATTACAGGCCCCTGAGGGTTCTTTCACCACGTTCGACGTTCTCAATGAGAGCCTGGAAGTTGCATGCGTGCATTTGGAGGATATTCAGCATCATTATACATAAGGATCCTCGCATCTAAGCACTCGGCGGATTCAAAGCTGAGTCGAGGGCCGGAAACACCGGCGGAAACTATTGACCAAACGGCTGTGATGGAAGAGGTGCTATATAGGATGTCCCGGAAAACCCCATACTGGTGCTTCATCAAAACAAGCAACTAGGATAGGGGTAGTAGCATCAGTGGACGCGCTCGGCACCGCCAATTTCCACTTTCTGTACCGGGGTAGCCACGCTGCTACTAGCAGAGGAGCTTGGCCAGCCTTCCCTAGGGCTGAAGATCCACCTTCATGAGTTCTGTGGGTAGCTCGCCAAGAAATAGCCGTTAGTTCTGACAGTTTGGCTGATTCGAACGGGTTCTGAATTAACCAGACTCTACATACCTCTTTCAAACCATCTGAAGCGTGCTGCGATGAAACCAGTTCTCGGCTTCGATTGCTCACACCAAAGAGAAATATTTCAAGCCTTCACTGATCGATCGGACAACTATCGCATTTTACGACGAAAATTCTCCATACATTCTAATCCGCATTCAGCAAATTCACTGGCTGACATGCTCAGAGAAGATTCAAGATCCTGGTTCCTCATTACCCTGTCTCCATCCTCGCCTGAGGCGACGAACTGGTACCTGTTGACCAAGTACATTTGTCCGACTTACACTACGCCATATCACTTATCTGGTTATGTATCTGGTGAAGGAAGATCGGTGAGCTGTGACACAGTGTGCTATGGAATTTTCTCTGACCTTGGGAGGAAGGTGGGACAAGTGTATTGAAATCCCGTTTTTTCCGGAATGAAGTTCCGCCCGGAGTCTCGAGCGTGAGTGCAGACTAATGTGAAGCAAAAGAGAGAATCAGGTCGTCAATTTGTCAGGGATTGTATTGACAACGGTCAAGAGTAGTTGGAATACACACTTTGCTAAAAGAGACGCTGTGTAGACACCTCCGAGTGGCTAAGAAGCACAACGCACTGTGAAGTCCAGCATCTGTGTCAAAATGCAGACGTAACCTACCAAAACGAACATCATGTGTACGAAGTGGAAGCCGTAGAGTGCGAACTGCTCAGCGGGAGGTTGTCAAGGCTACTTGGTGCATCAGGAAAGCTGGAAACAGCCATACAGCGAACATGACGGCCAGTGCCAGAACACTGGGTTACGGAAACAGAACATGGTTAACTTGTGAAGCTATTTCCAAACAAGTTTGGCGAATCATACCTAGTCAACAGACCGGTGTTGATTGCATATACTATTAATTGCCGTAACACTGTATCCGTCCTTCAAGGGCAGGGGGAGGAATTTATTTAGGCATTTATTCCTCGATAGGCAAATTTTCCTACTGTCGAAACCCTGTGCGACGCCTGTGGAGGAAATATGACATGGCTAAGGCTATCATGAGGTCCGCCACCGCCTGCGAAATGATAGAGCGTTTACGTAAGTAATCAATGCTCTTGATTCGATACATAGAAAGGACATACCTCCAATGTTAGCCAAGATATCATGAGGTGGCGTGTGGGTCGGACGAAGCTTTCAATACCGTGGGTGATATTTCTGTTAATGAGGATGATGAAAATACGTTGCTGCTTGAGGAGGTTCAACTTGCGCTTTGACCCAGATCGCTGTGGGGGGCGATGCGAGCAGAATGTCAGATGTCGTTTGACTCTACAATTTGTGCAGCCTCTTACTAAATCCAGTTCCTAGGTTAAGTTATGCGTAAGATATACCAGAACGTAGTCACCAGGGTTCACTCACCAACTTGTGCCGGGATCAAGAGGGCCTGCCGATGGGATCAAAGGTCTACAAATATTCATAGGATGAACAGGTGACTGCGTACGAGTAGCGCTGGTAGCCAGATTGATCCACTAACTACTGGTCACAATCCATAGCGACGTTAGGGATTCATAGATGAAAAGGGGGACTATTTGGAGTAACTTGCATCGATATAGACGAAAGACGAAGTAAGTTTGGACGATGGTAGAACAAATAACCTAGTGGGAATTATGGTGAGTGCACAACCATGCAGGGCAGGCTCCATCTAGAGTGGAATTGTGGTCTTACCATAGATATCTGATAAACAGTATCATACCTGTTGTAGGAGAAATGTTATGCTAGTGTTATCGTGGGTTCGTAAGAAAGCATACCATACTGTAGTTGAAGACTGAACACCGAAGTGGTGAATGAATGTCATGCGAACCGAAACTGTTGATGTTATCCTGTAGAAATTACGAAGTGACAGTTCCTGAAACGAGTATTTTCTATGGCTGCTAACCCACACTTGAAACGTCTGAACGAGCCTGGAAATGAAATGTGAAGTCAACCAGCCATACATCTTGTATTGCGTGAGTTACTTGATCAACCAGCGCTCACCACAAAAACCCGACCGCAAATTTCAAAGAGATATGGTCCGTAGGAAACCTACGGTAATAGAGGAAAGCCTGAACAGTGATTACACCGAAGAGTCTATTGCAGGGGAAAGAATATTGGTTGATGCGAGCAAGCACATGATGGAAGAGCGAAAATATTCCATTAGTGTCGGAGAGGACGGTTGTCAATGTGATCCGCAACGCACATAGTTTGGAGCACAAGCCCAGATAGGAAACCCCCAAAGAGATTTTCGCGAGAGGACATACCCATCTCTAAGGATGAGACGATCTAAGATGTAGGGGATGGAGATGCTCAACCCAGAGACTTGTTACGTGCTATATACACTCCCATGGGTCTTGATTTGGGGCAAGAGGAAGAAATGAATGGAGCTCCCGATTTTGTAAGTTACCCCATATGGTGCGGTGCTCTTCGGCAGCCATACCTAGCACTGGATGCAGACCATTCCTTGGGCAGGTACAACTAGCTGCGGGGAGAGCGATCAATTCCGCAGGCGAGAATTCTGCGGAATAAATTAAAAAACTCCAACAGCACAAGGTCCGTTACAATCGATAGGTCTTTGTCTAGCCAGACCGAATTCAATTACCATGGATGAGGGCCCTGCTTGACTTTGAGAAGTAGCGGGTTAAGAGTTTTTATTCGCAAGAGCCAGTGCAGAGCCAACCGGGGAACGATATTTGCAGCCAATTCCCAGCTAATGGTAGAAGAATTATTGACCACGAACTTTTGGTATTATTTGAAGGTTGAATCGATCGAAGCAGACAATGATTAGGGAGATCCTAAATGTTATGCAGCGGAGCTCCCAATGTTGATGGGATCATTGGGGCCTTCCTAATCATGGGCGTAGCATAGGCTGGTCACCTGCAGCTGCTTAGTAGCATAGGAGCGGGTGCCCACCCAGGACTCGGGTTGATTGAAAAGCCAGGCAGGATCCCAGCCTCTACTAAAGTAGAAGGAAAAGCCTAGAGATGTATGATTGCCCTCTATCTACGCTACGATAGCCTACATTTACTCTGACCACTGATGCATATCCCCGTCCATGTTGTCACCCGTCACAATAAGAGAAGCTAGATGATAATGATCTTTCGTTACCTAGCGGCCTCGTGGCTACGTGGCAGTGGGGCTATCATACAAGGGTCTCGCACAGCCATTGGGCTGAAAGGTTCTCTAGAGCCTTTCTCACGGTCCTTCCGAGTTCGCTGCGATGCGCTGCTGAGACACTACATAAATCATAAATCGGATCCATATATGCTGACATCTGACAAGTACACCTTCGCCTGGATGCATTCCGACCGCTGCTGCGCTCAATGCTTAGAGCACTATGGCGCCAACAATGGGACGCCGGGCTTCCGTAGCGTATCATAACTTCCATACTACTCGGAGAGGGGAAATATTTGTCCGGATCTAAACGGCATCAAATTGGAGGAGGGCTATACGGATAGTTTTTCCGATGATGGTGACATAGGGAGTGCTTCTAAGAAGCTGAATGTAGAGGTACCTTGCTCCCGCAATTTAAGTTTGATGCTGTGCCACTGTCTTCCCAGTCTTCCCGCACAACAGGTCAATTGCAGGGGCATATCAACATCAAATATGTGCGCACTCCATAGATCTTTCGACAAATGATCCTTTTTGTTGCCTGCTTGGCGCCTTGTGAGCCATATTACATCATGTGCGACAGGGTAAGGGTATCACGGTGCTACTCGCCATGCTGCCAGTGAGCTTAGAAGCCAGAAGACGTCGTCATTTATTGCGGAGGGGCTCTAGGAACCGTTGCAGCACGAATTCCTTGCTCGGCTTTGTGTGTCGGGTGTGTGGCTCGGCCCGCTAGCACTCGGGGCGGTAGCAGGGAATGAGTGCAGACTATGCTGACCACACAAACACCATGTGCAGGCCTAGGTAGCAGAGTTAAGAAAAATGATTTCTGCCTCCGGTACTTGCATGATGCACGATACTGGCAAGTGTCATGTAAGTGTCGACATGTGCTTCACTGGCGGCTCAACGGCCCGGGTGCTCACCGCAGGGTCGAAGCAGCGATCTCCCATTGACCGTTGCATCTATGAAGAGATCTGGAACACGGGCCAATTTGGGGATTTGAATGCGTAACATTACTGAGGCCACCATTGATGTAAAATGTGCAGGCACCTGGTCTTTATTATTCAGAGACCGCTGCGGTCTGTTTTGAAACAGGCGGAGGGAGCCAATTATGATGATTGGTCCTGTGCGTGATCGAACATGCATTTCCAACCCCAGCCTCCATATAGCCCATGATCAGTCTGCCCTATTCATTTGTGCATTCTTGTCTGCCATGGGCCAAGTAGCTACCCCAACACGCACCGGCCAGGTTTCCGGCCTCGTTCACGCACTAGGTCTTGAACTAAAATATCAGACCCTTCGTCGAATCTCGTCGACACGAAGGAGCTCTCGCTTTTATGGTGCTCTGATCCCTTGGTCTCTTCTGTGCACTACATAAAGCCACGTTTATTTCAAACCCCTGTCTTATCTTTCCTACTTTGTATTTGGCACTTCAGCAAAACGACCAACTCAAAAGCTTGTTTGGCATCTCATGGCAACGTCAATCGAAATACGACCACCTGCAAACGTCCAAGGTACATCATCTGTTGCGTGGAACCTTGCCTTCCCATCTAGCTCATGCTTGTTCGAGTTCTATCTTTCCATGATTTATTTTTTCAATAATGTTACTGACGGGGATTCAGTGTATTGCCGCAAATCCTCAAGAGGACGAGAACCGGATTCGGGTCACTCATTGCCTTACCTCTATGGCAAGGACACGAGCCTGCTAACGGGGTGTGGTCCGTGCATTCGTTCGATCGACACCCTAAACGGTGGCACTTATCTGGTTGCGTATCTGGTGAAAGACGTTGGGTCAGCTTATGACGGGACGAGCAATGAGCGCATTTCTCGACCTTGGGAGGAAGGCGGGACAAGTGTATTGAAATCCCGTTTTCTCCGGAATGAAGTTGTCCACGGAGTGTTGAGCGCGAATGCAGACTGACGTGGGGAAGTAAATCGTCAATTTTGTTAAGATAACGACAATGTTTCCCCCCGGTGGAACACATACTTTGCCAAAAGGGACGCTGTATAGACACCTGCGAGTGGCTAAGAAGTATAATTTGTTGGAATTAAGAGGTTCGGTGTCTATACTGAAGCGTAGATATAACTTACCACGATGAAGGTCAAGTGGATGAAGTGGAAGCCGTAGAAGACAAACTGCCCAAATATAGGCTGTCAGGGCTACGAGGTACATCGGAATACTGGAAACAGCCGTACAGCAAACATGACGGCCAGTGCCAAAATACTAGGTTTTGGAAACAGAGAACGGTCGATTTTTGGAGCTGTGTCAAGTTTGCCAAATCATACCTGGTCAGCAGGCCAGTGTTGATGGCATATACTGTCAATGTTCGTAACACGGTATCCGTCCTGAGGGAAGTACGCCATTAGGTATTTTTTTCAATGACACAGAGATAGACACCTTGCTCACTGTCGAAATCCTGTGCGGCGCTTCTGGAGGAAATATGACATAGAGAAGGCAATCACGAGATCTGCCACCGCCTGCGGATTTGATAGTGTTCAACATAACCGAAGTTCTTTGTTCAATGCATCGAACGGATGTACCTCCAGCGTTAGCCAAGGTATCTCGGTGTAGCGTATAGGTCGGATGAAGCTTTCGAGACCGTGGCTGATATTTCTATTAATGAGGACGATGAGACCACGTCACTATTTGAATAGCTCCACCTTACGCTTTAATCCAAATCGCTGCGTATAGTGCGAACAGAATACAGAAAACCTCAGAAGGCATTGATTCTACAATTTGTGCGGTCCTTACCAAGTCCGGTCCCTAAGATACGCATCAGGCCCTCCAAAATATGTTCACTCAGGTTCACCCACCAACTTGCCCCAGCGTCAAGAGGGCCTATCAATGAGAATTCCGAGGATCTACAGATATTCATAGGGTAAAGAGGTGACTACGTACTACCAGCATTGGTAGCCAGATTGATCCACCAACTAGGCACAATTAGGGCAACATTAATACAGATGAAAGGGGAGAGACTGTGAGTTCTTACATCGATAGAGACGAAGGACGAAGTAAAGTTGGACGATGGTGGAACAAATGACCTAGTAAGAATCTCGGTGGGTGAGCGACCACACAACGCAGACTCGGTCCAGTGCCGAGCGGAATCATGGTCTTACCGTAGAAATCTGGTAAAAGGTATCATACCTATTGCAGGAGCAATGTCATGCGAGTTCTATGAGTCCGCGGGAGAGCAAACCATATAGTAGATGAGGGCAAAGTATCGAAATTGTGAATGAATGCTCTGTACAACGAAGCTGTGGCAGCTGTCCTGGAGAAAAGGCGATCCTTTGAGTGACGTATATCTGATTAGGCTCATGACTCACACTTGAAACATCTGGACGAGCCTCCAAATGAAATTAGACGTCAACTAACCATACGCTACGCATCGCGTAAGTCGCTCGATCAGCCAGAGCTTACCATAAAAATCCGACGGTAGATTTCAAACAGATATGGTCCTTAGGGAACCTATGGTAATAGAGGAAGACCTGAACGGTGATTACACCGAGGAGTCTAAGGCAGAGAAAGAACATGAAGTGATCAGGACGAGCGCATGAAGAGCGGAGAAGTAGATGGAGAGTCGATAACGCACATGGTTTCAAGCACAAGCCCACAGAGGTAACCTCCTTGGAGATTTTCGCGAAAGGACATACCCATCTCTGGCGATGCTGCCTGAGAGATAGAAGCAAACTATGCCAGCTTCGAAGACCTGCTACCCATAGATACTCTCATGCTTTTTAACTGGGCATCGATTCCAACTGCCAATTTTGTGGGCTGATTATCATCGCGCGGCACTGTTCGGAGATGGTGCCCAACGCCGGGTGCAGATCAACTCATCACATCCTCAAGCTAAGTGCAACGAGAATCTCCACGGCATATCGATCCCGCTGGTGCTCGGTGTGTTCCATGAAGAATGCTTTACCTGCAACCGAAATTCCTAATTCGGAAGCTCACCGATCATTTCCCGGACAAACTGAGGGATGCCAAAAGCACAGGACCCACCACGGCTGGCAGCCCTGGAGGGCCAGGCCGAGACCGGTCCGGAAGGGCGTGGATTGATTGAGATGTAGTAATGTAGGAACTTCTTCAATGGCAAGGAAACGATATTTCCCCGCTGATGACAAGGACGCAACGCCCAATGATTACGAACCTATCGTATTATTTAGATATTAGAACAGTCGTAGTAGACAGAAAGAGTCTGAATGTTATGTAGCCGGGCTATACGAAGTCGAGAGCATCATTGGAGCCTCATGAGCGCAACATAGATGATGGGACGCCCGGGATTCGGGCGTGAGGATTTGGGAGAAGGGGAGTATCGCCTGATGTGTGATTGCGTGGCTGCAACATCACGCTACGGATGATCTACAGTTATTGTACTTTCAAATCAGCAAACCTCCAGCCCTCGAGGTTTGCTGATGTCCATTTGTTCACCGAGTTCGTTTCCATTCCAGATCCAGACATGTAAGCGCCCGAAGGCATTCCAGATTTTCTCATTCACTCGTTCCCTGACTTCCCATACGTACCTCTTGCAGACAAGAATCGCGCTACCCGCATTTCATTGCAGTATACCTGCTTCCTTTTCCATGAGGTCAGCAAAAATCCTTGGCGAAGAGCACGTCTGGATGCCCCGTTATGCAAAGAAACTTCAAGTAAGTCTGACTCTACGGGTTCACCGCAGCGACAACTCGGGTCTTCATCTAGGGACCCTTTTCTGTCTCCGAGTTTGGGCAAGATCGTAGCATGTTGGCGGTGTTATGTAAAAGCTGGGTACAACGCAATCGCTGCCATACCGCGCGCAAGACACGTGTGCCGGTGTCAGACAAACGCACCCCCCGCCTGAACATCTTCCAACCTCTGCCACACTCGTCCCGAACCTCCTATGGGGCTAAAAATCCATCGTCATCGACGGGTTCTGCATATGATTGGCTCGCCTTGAAATAGTCGTAGTTTTAAGTTCGGACAGTTTGGCCGCATTGGAAGCAGGAATCGACGGAACCACCCATTTCCGTTCCAAGTCTAACAAGGGTGTCCTGCCAATGATTCACACGAGTTCTGAATATTCGAACTCTATATATCGCTTTCAAATGCGCTAATCACGCCGCACCGATGACGATTTCGGTAGCTTATGCCAAAGAGAAATAGCCTTTCAATGATCGGTTGGACTACCTGTCGCATTTAGCAACGAAATCCCCCATATATTCGATCCTAATCCGATCACTAAACTCACTGAGACATGTTCAAATGAGGAAATTAGGACCCAAATTATTTATTGCTTTGCCTCTATCTTTGTTTGACGTGACGGACTCGCACTGCTGATCGTTTGGTCTATCCATCCGAATAACACCCTTACACGGATTGAGAGATAGCACTTGTCTGGTTGCGTACCTAATGAAAGATGATAGGTCAGCTGTAACATGTGGTGTGTTATGGATGAATTTCTCTGACCCCGGGAGAAAGGCGGTTTACATTTTCTCCGGGCTGAAGTTCCCCCCAGAGTCTCGAGCGTGAATGTAGACTAACGTGGAGTGGAAGAGAGGAGCAGATCATCAGTTTGCTAGGAGTTTTGAATTGGCAACGGTCTTGCCCATTGCTCCGTGGCGGAATACGCACTTTGCCAAAAGGGACGCTGTATAGACACCTCCGAGCGGCTAAGAAAACACACTGTGGAATTCTGCACCTGTGCCGAAGTGCGGATATAACTTACCAAGATGAACATCAAGTGGACGAAGTGGAAGCCGTAGAATGCAAACTGCCCAGAGAAAGCTGTTAGAGTTGCTTGGCACGTCAGAAGCGGGGGAAATAGCCACACAGCAAACATGACGACCAATGCCAGAGCACTGGGTTATAGGAAGGCTGGAATTTGAAGCTATTTTCCTAACAAGTTTGTTAAGTCGTACCTAGTCAGCAGGCCAGTGTTGATTGAATATACAGTTAACTTTCGTAACATCGTATCAGTCCTTCAAGGAGGGAGGGAAGCATCCATTCAGGCATTTCTTCCTTGACCCAGAGATAGGCAAATTACTTACTGTCGGAACCCAGTGCGACGCCTGTTGAGGAAAAATGACATGACAAACGCGATCATGAGGTCCGCCACTGCCTAAAATTCGACAGAATGTTTGCACAACCAAATCCCTTTAGTCAATGCACAGAGGACGTGCCTCCAGTGTTAGCCAACTTATCATGAGGTGGCGTGCGGGCCGAACAAATGTCTCAATACCGTGGGTGATATTTCTGTCAATGAGGGTGATGAGAATACGTTATTACCTGAGAAACCTCCACTTACGCTTTGAGCCAGATCGCTGCATATGATACAAGCGGGATCTCAAAAGCCGTTTTATTCTATAATTTGTGCAGCCTCCTACCAAATCCAGTTCCTAGGTTAAGGCATGTATTAGACACTCCAAACATGACCGCTCAGGCTCACTCACCAACCTGCGCCGGGATCAAGATGGCCTGTCGGTGAAGATTCCAAAAGGTCTACAAATCTTCATGGGACGAACAGGTGACTACGTACAAGTAGCACTGGCAGCCAGATGGATCCACTAACTAGGCACAACTCAGAGCGACATCAGGGATCCACAGAGGAAAGAGAGGGCCCTTGAAGCAGCTTACATCGATATAGGCGAAGGACGAAATAAAGTTGGACGATGGTGGAACAAATAACCTGGTCGGGGTTCTGGTGGGTGCGTAACCACACGAGACAGACTCGATCCAGGTTTGGGTGGAATTATGATCTTACCGTAGAAATCTGATACACGGTATCATACCTTTGTGGTAGAGATGTCATACCAGTGCTGTGGTGAGTTTATGGGAGAGCATACCATGCCGTGGTTGACATTTGAACCTTGAAGAGTGCCTCGTAAACCCCAATTGTCGATGCTATCCTGGAGAGGCGATGAGGCGACCGTCCTTGAACCAAGTATCTGATGAAGCTTCTGACTCACACTTGAAATACCTGAACAAGCCTCCAAATGAAATGTGGAGTCAACCAACGATATACCATGCAATACGTAACCCACTTAGTCAGCCAGCACTCACCATAAAAATCCGACTGCAAATTTCGAAAAGATATGGTCCTGGGGGAACCTATGGTAATACAGGAAAGCCTGACAGTGATTATGCCGAAGAGTCTACCGCAGGGAAGGGTGGACATTTTCTGTTATTCTTGGAGAGGGGGGGCGTTAATGCCATCTGTAACGCACATGGTTTGGAGCACGAGCCCATAAAGGAAACCCCCAAAGACATTTTCGCGAGTAGACATCCCCATCTCTGGGGCTACTACTTGATGAGATGATCTGAGAGATGGGGATGGAAAGCTCAACCCACGCAAACTGCGAAGACTTGCGACGCGCTATATACATCCTCAGGTCTCCTAATTGATCCTCATGTCTCCTAGTTGATCCCCACGTCTCCTAATTGGAGGGGAAGAGGGTGGGAGGAAGAACGCTTTGTGGAGAATTTCTGAGTTGCACCGGAAGTTTGTGGGTGGGAATTTCATCGCTCATCTGTTGGATAAATTGAAGGACTCTATCACAGCATAACGTCCGCTACAATTGATATTTCCTTGTCTGGGCTGAAGGTAACTTCTCAGGGTGAGGGCCCTGGAAGTAGCGGGGGAAGAAATTTCATTTGCCGAAGCCAATGCAGAGCCTGCCGTGAAACGATATTTGCAGCCAATTCCCAGCCGATGGAAAGGTCATGCATAATGGCCGTTGGCTGCATGTCATACCATTTGGAGGCTGAGTCGATTGAAGCCAGGCTAGTCACCTAGATCTCACCCCCCCTAAGTAGCCGTGTGAGAGCGTGGTACTTTTGGGTGCCTAACAGGTCTCTAGACCATAAAACGTTTTAGACAAGTTTTAGAAGGGAACCAGAAGCGTCCAAAATGTCCAAAAAAAGTTTCAGAAACGTTTTAAAAACGTCAACTGAATTGGTCCATATTCCGCTATCTGAATGTCAATAGTAACATCCCGGAAACGTTTTGAAAACGTTAACTGAATTGTCAACATTGGACCATCGTGTACAGCTTACTGTACTGGCACGACCAACTACCGGTCACGCATCACGCTGACCAGCCGGTCCGGCCGGGGTTGGAGGTTTGTCACGCATCACGCAAGGCAGCCGGTTTGGTGTCTGGTGTCACGCAGGTTCACGGGCGCCGAGGTGGCTGTGTAAAACCAATTCAAATTATCCTTTTTGGGAACGTATTGACACTCAAAAACAAGACCCCCACTCCCTACCAATCTCCTGCAGCCACGCCCCCTACCTGCTGCTGCTGCACCCATCCCCCTGCGCCCCACCCCGCAGCAGGAGCAGGGCCACAACCCATGGATCTCGACCACTTGAGGATCGACCAGAGGCAAAACAGGCTGTGTTACAACTGTGACACACCAGGGCACATCGCGCAGGATTGCCTGCAACCAAAAACCCACCGAGCCAGACGGATGCACCCCGAAGACCTCAGAGCACTCATGGAGGGGCTGAGGAGACAGCTGGTGGCATCAGCAAAAAATTGTTATGCTCCTGAGTGCTCCGGAGTATGGGGAGCACTGGGAGAATCAGGAGGAGATTGGCCGGTCCAGGAACAGCTCATTTCCTCTGGAGTTGGTCAGGTACTTCAGGGCACTCCCAGGAGGGCATGGAGCATTGCTTTGTGCACAAACATATCCAGTAAATACAATTTAATGCTTCAAAATGTATAGGGGTGAGAAGCTTCTGGGAGCTCCTGGAGCATTTGAAAATGAAAAGGAAAAAAAAGAGGAAGACTCCCCATGAATACCTCCTACCACAAGACTAACACAACAAGACACTACTTAACATTTAGATCAAACACTATACTATACATCAAGGACACTGAGACTCACCTATACACAGTCAAAATTTATGGCCTGATATATGATTAATCTGGCAACTTAATCACTTTCGGACTTGCAGAATATGGAGGAGGGGGAAATGGGGGAGAATGAGGGGGGAAATGAGGGGGGAAATGAGGAGGAGAATGAGGGGGAGAATGAGGGGGGAATATAGAGGGAAATGAGGGGAATTTGAAAAATAGGGACTTCTAAAAAGTTGAAAAAATAATTAGGGAAAAAATCAAAAAAAAAATTCAGGAACTGTAGTGCCTTTGAAGTGCTTTCAGGATATATAATTATTTGCAAAATTGAGGAAGAAATGATGGAGAAAAATGGAAAATACTTTCGGAGACCCGAGAAATAATGAGAACTGAATTGATGGGAAAGTCTGAAAATTGAATGGGAAAGTGAGGGGAAGCCTTGTAGCATTGTTATTTTCTGCTGTTCTAATTTTTCCTGATTCTTCTTGGTCTCACTCCCAGCTGCTCCTGGATACTCCTGGAAGCTCCTGGAAGCTCCTGGGAGGGTCCAGGAGCAGCTAATGGAAAATACTTTTGGGGACCCAAGAAATAATGAGAACTGAATTGATGGGAAAGTCTGAAAATTGAATAGGAAAGTGAGGGGAAGCCTTGTAGCATTGTTATTTTCTGCTGTTGTGATTTTTCCTGATTGTTCTTGGTCTCACTCCCAGCTGCTCCTGGACCCTCCCAGGAGCTTTCAGGAGCTTCCAGGAGTATTGAGGAGCAGCTGGGAATGAGACCAAGAAGAATCGGGAAAAATCACAACAGCAGAAAATAACAATGCTACAAGGCTTCCCCTCACTTTCCTATTCAATTTTCAGACTTTCCCATCAATTCAGTTCTCATTACTTCTTGGGTCTCCGAAAGTATTTTCCATTTTTCTCCATCATTTCTTCCTCAATTTCGCAAATAATTATATGTCCTGAAAGCACTTTAAAGGCACTATAGTTCCTGAATTTTTTTCGATTTTTTTCCCTAAATTTTTTTTTTCAACTTTTTAGAGACCAAAATTTTCCTCCCACTGCTCCTGGCACATTGCATACTCCTCACCACTCCCAGCCGCTCCTGAACCCCCTCCCAGGAGAACACTATTGGCTCCAGGAGTGCCCAATCTGCTGTTTTGTCTCCCACATGCTCCAGCCACTCCTGATGCTCCAGAGCATAACGGACTTTTGCTGATGGTGGACAAACCAGAGACAGAGGGAGAAAGGCAGGAGGCGGAGGCCCAAGAGGATTTTCAGGATGGCAACTGGTGAGGGACGTGCCCCAGCTGCCTGCAGGCGATAGTACTAGCTCATGTAGATACCATGAGGTGCCTAACCCAGCGCCGATATCTAAATTCCACCGAGTCATCGCCAAGAAGAAGAGGAAAAACGTGTCCTCAACCAGCAAGGGCAGAGAAGCCCCAGAAACGGTGTCGGAGGTAGCGGTCCCACCACCCGCCATCTATGTGTTGTCCAAACAGCCTCCCAGATCCCTCAACCTCGCCATGAAGCTGACCACCTTAATGTCCCTCACCAGCGTCTCCGTGTCGGCGCTCCTAGATTCCGGAGCTACAGGGAACTTCATGAGCCCTGAGTTTGTCAGAAAACATGGGCTTGAGATGACCCCACTTCCCCAGCCCATCCCTGTCTGCAACATCAATGGAACCCCGAATGAGAACGGAGCCATAACCAAGGAGCTAGAGGCCCTCTTGACATTCGGGCAACACATGGAGCGGGCCCACTTTGCCATCACAAACCTTGGGAGGCAGTCCCTCATTATAGGACACTCGTGGCTGCTACACCACAACCCGGAAGTGGACTGGACATGACAGAAAGTCACCATGTCCTGCTGCCCAACATCCTGCCAGTCGATACGAGCGTGAGCTGACTCAGACCCTGCAATAGAGCCCAGGGATGGGATCTACACCACTATCATCTCTCCGGGGTGGGGACATGAGCTAAGAGCGACTACGACCCCATCGCAGCAGATGGCCCAGGAGGCCTGCAAGCTGGAGGCAGAACCCGCACAGTTTGAGGCACTGGTGCCAGAGCAGTACCAGGGCTTCCGAGATGTATTCTCGAAGGAGGCTTTTGACCAGCTACCTCCGCAGAAGCCCTGGGACCACGTGATAGACCTGGCACCAGAGGCCAAACTCCTGAGAGGGAGGACCTTCCCCCTGTCAAGGCCAGAACAGAAGGAACTAGATGAGTTCCTCTGTGAAAACCTGTGGAACAGGCACATATGGCCATCCAAGTCCCCGATGGGGGCACCAGTCTTCTTTGTCAAGAAGAAGGACAAGTCGTTATGCCTGGTCCAGGACTATCGCAAGCTCAATGAGATCACGGTGAAGAACTCATATCCCCTCCCCCTCATCTCGGATGTCCTCACATGCCTCCAAAATGCCAAGTACTTCTCAGTGCTAGACCTCCACTGGGGGTTCAATAACGTCCGCATCAAGGACAGCGATGAATGGAAAGCAGCATTCTCGACCAACTGGGGGCTGTTTGAGCCTACCGTCATGTTCTTTGGCCTATGCAACTCCCCAGCAACGTTCCAGACCATGATGAACGACATACTCCAAGACTTCATCGACCAGGAGGTTGTCATCTGTTACATGGATGACATCCTGATCTTCACCGCTACCCTGGAAGAACACCAGAAGGTCGTCCACGAGGTTTTGGAAACACTGTGAAGAGGGAAGCTCTTCTTGAAGCTGGAGAAGTGCAAGTTTGAGCGGACCTGAATCGAATACCTTGGCCTCATCATCGCTGAGGGCAGTGTCGCAATGGATCCCATGAAGATCCACGGAGTCCTCAACTGGCTGACCCCAACTAAGGTCAAAGAGGTGCAGTCCTTCTGTCAGGGACAGCTCCAAAAGTGGCAAGGTCCTGGCGCAAGGGACTTGATGGGACAGGTGTCGGCTATGCATAGTGGCAGTCCCGTCATGGGGTGAGCATCCCCGACCACTTAGGCTGAAGTGGGAAGTTGAGAAGAAGGCTGCTTCTTCTGTTCCCACCCCAGGCGCTATTATATACATGCGGTCAGGGTCACGTGGAGGAAGCCATGTCATCTCCGCGCACAGCCACACCTCCCCAGGTGTCTCCACGGGAGATCCCGGAGGTAGCCGCTCAGTAGGCAGGAGTGTGCACAGTGTGTGCGGCGATCAGGGGAACAGGGTTAGGTATGTAGTGGTACATGGAGAAAAGGGAAATCAACTGTAGAATAGAAATAGAGAGAAAGAGGAAAAGTGAGGAAAGAGGGACAGGGGGTGATAGCGGGGGAAGCAGAGTAGGGCAGTACGGTGCAGGGCACGGTGCAGGGTCAGGCAGGTGTGCCCTGACACCTTCCTGGGGTTCGTCAACTTCTACCACCTGTTCATCAAGGATTTCTCGGAGATAGCCCGCCCCCTCCATGCATTAACCCACAAGATGAAGACTTGGGCCTGGGGATCAGACGAGGACCACGCGTTCCATGCCCTCAAAGACGCCGTCACCTCCGCCCCCGTCCTCGCCTTCCCCACTGACATGGGCCACTTCAAGCTCGAGTGCGACACTTCCAACTTCGCAACTGGCGCCGTCCTCTCTCAGCTCCAGGCAGATGGAGAATTCCACCTGGTAGCTTTCATGTCAAAAAGCT